TACAGAATACAATATTTTACTCTGCAAAAAAAGTGCTTATCCTGAAGTATAAATCTGTACAAACATGATCTGAAATACATTCTTTGATTGTTAATATATAGATTTATTTTTGTCATTTCAGAAATGTGTTAAAATGTGAACTTTGAGCAGAATCCCATTACTAAAACATATCTAAATCTCATCACAATTAGATATTTTTCCTCACATGATTCAGCTCTAGGTGTGCAAAAATACTGAAATATTGATATATCGTATAGTTTAATTTGATGATACAGTATTGATATCGTGGGCTGCTGTATCAATATATTGCCAAGAGTATTTTTAGGTATATTTTACTAAATTAATTTTATGTAAAAACTACAATTGTGTTGACATTTTTGCTGTTTTGAGTAAAATGGATGTTTTTCATATTAACTTTGCACAAACTTAATGGATTTAGCCTTTGTTTTTCACTGAACTGTATCAAATTGACTTGAAATATATCCAATTGTACTGAATCGAATTGTATCGACAACTTCTTAATGATACCCAGCTCTGTTCAGCTGCTTCTAGGATACTTCTGTGGCCAAAGTGAGCTGTCCTGGTGCAGACTGTTAAAGAAGTGGCCACTAATCCGTGTCATAAAGCCTTGACAACGATTACAGACATGAAATTCCCATAGAACCAAAAACTATGAAATGTGTAATGACAAATAATATTAAGTGTATTAGAATCTAACTTTGTGGCAATTCATGAAATAAAGATAGAAAGTCAAGAAAGAGCAGATGGGTGGAACACTTAAAAAGCAGAGTGAATATCCAGTAGTTATTCATTATAGATAGCTGAGTAATAGAGTGCGAGTTAGCAGCAGACTCACCCCAGTGCTCAAAGTCAATTCATCAAAGCTGCTATTAAGCTCCTCATATTAGTCTCGCACACACAAACCCATATATGTGTAACTGGAGCTGCTCAGCGAATTAAGCCCCCCTATATACAATTTCTATCCAGACTGTGATCCAATTTCAAAACAAAACAACAAATATAGACATAACAGGCTTCGATGCCGCCTGTGGCAAAGAAAATAATTAGTGTGCGCTTTGTGTAAATTACGGTTTTAACAAGACAAACAATACTTAGGCACAATCGCTTTTTATTTAACCATGCCCCTGTGATAACGTGTAGGTGAATGCATCCGAGAACCAATTTCCTGCTGTCTCCTTTTAATAGATACAGAGACAGAGTGTGGAGGAGCCAATCAAAGCTCAAGGTAGTGAAACAGTACACGAACACCCTTTAATAATTGTGATTCAAAGATGAGCGCTACAAAAATGGGGAGGTAGTGGTTGGAGTTGAATGATTAAAAAAAAAAAAAAAAAGAACCAATGTGTCAAAGTGAATGGATTAGGGCTGTAGTTGACTAAAGACATTTTTGGTTAACTAAAGACTTGATTGATTAGTTGAATAAAATGGGGCTGTGGCAGAAGCTCTCAAAACTATTACATAACTCTATGTATTTGACCCAGACTAAGGTCACAACGCTACACCTACATGGAAGTTCATGCAAAAACAATTATTTATGCAGAAAAAAAGAGTAGAAGTAGAAAACAATGTATTTATAACACTGAATTTTCAGATTAAAGGTGAATTATGTAACTTTCTGGTGGAGGGTCCGTTAAATGCTTTTCTCTGTGGAGATGTCATTGCTCTGCCTGAAATGCTCCAGACTATGACATCAAACAGTTACTTTACATTTATTGAATCACAGGTGGTTTTATAGCTCAAAAATACCAAGAAAAACTGGCATTCTGACTGAGCGGGATCGCCTCGCCACAGATCTGACCTGTAACTTTGTTTGATTTGTTCTCCAGGAAGACAGAAAAGTTTAATACCATACTGTGAAACAGACAAAGCAATAACATCTCCATGGAAAAAAGCATTTGATGGACCCTCCACCAGAAAAGTTAAAGAATGCACCTTTAAGTTAGTGAATCTTGGGATTAATCTGCATTTTTACGTTTAGGGCCTGTTTACACGAGAACGCTTGTGGGTAAAAATGACAAAATATTCTATCGGAAGTGCCTTCCATTTAGACGGTGAATTCCACACACTTTTGCGTCACTGTATGCATGCAGATTTTCGGATGCGGAATAAAAAGTGAAGACGCGACACCACTTTTGCATTTTCTGCTCAGACAGTCATCATATAAACGTAGCCTTAAATAAAAACAATAACTATCTTATCAATCTTTAGCTACCTCACTCACTAACTTCTTCTCCTTTTTTGCCGTTGTCCCAGATAAATCCTTACAATACAAATAAAAAGTCAACTAATACACCATAGACTGATTAAACAAAAACAACTAAAGCCCTACAATCCTAGCATGGATAAAAACAGATAACCACAAAAAGTGCAGAAATATATTTTTGCTTGAAAGATTACACTGCAAGTTTAATATATTTCTTTTCTTTATCCATTTTATTTTTTTTTACTACCTTTTCATATTGTTTCTACTTTCCCCAAAGCTATTTTCATACTATCCATGTTTCAACACATTTCTAACTTTGAAGTGAAATATAACTGTTAACCCAATACCAAGAAAACCTGTATTTCAGAGCATAAAAGTCTATACACGCCAGGTTTTATACATAATAAGAGCCCATGGAGGACTAATTGGAGCAATCACAATTTTGCTAATTGCGACCGCTCAAATTACAGTTTCCATTTGCTTGAGATTATCTTGCAGCCTTGGAGGTCATGGTTACAACAGTCTGTTCTAATAAAACGATACTGAAGTTGAGTCCACCAGTTTAATTGACCCAGTGACACAAACCCAGACTGTGCACTTTCAGTCTGCATCTCACTGGAGAGAATTGCACCGAGCGAGAAATGAAAGCACATCGAGCCTTTGGACACACTGCTCCTGAGCAACAAGTGTAAAAAGTGTTTACTATGCTCTCAATATCAGCAATTACTAAGTGCTTTTCACACAAGTCAGGAAAAATCTTATAATACACTTACTCTGCACAGTCTGAAAAATGTACTCAAACTACTGAATGTGCATTACATTAAAGGACCCATATTACACTATTTTCTGATCTATTTTATAATGTTGTTTTCTCATTAAAAACATACCAGAAGTTGTGTGTTAAAAATGTGTGAATGAAACAAAACTCTACATATTTAGGCTGAGGAGTTGTTATCTTGAAAATTACATTACATGAAATCACAAGATATAACAGAGTATTTTGAGCTTTGGAGATGTAGACAGACTAATAATAGAAAGTTATTCAAACTAGGGATGGGTATTCGATTAAATTTTCTTAATTGATCGTTGAGAGAATTAACGATCGCTTATCGATTAATCATTAACATTTTCATATTAAAATTATCATCATTATTATTAGTATCTGCACTACTAATCTGCATAAATAAATTCAACTTTACGACATATAAACCGTAACCACTCTAGAACCACATCAGCCTGTTTGACATTATAATGTGTTTAATGCAGGTTTACACAACTCTCACATAAACAAAACTTAAAACCGCATCGCTAATTTGCATAAATTAAGCGAAGAAAAAAAAACAGCTCTTGTGCGCTGATGCGACACGACTCAGTGGAATACAGGTTAGTGTGACCATATTTGCATTTGTCAAAACCAGGACACCGTACGGGGGGCGGGAGGTGGGGCCTCGTCATCGTCATTACGCTACTCTCACCTGGCAAAACTTTTTCCTACTGGACACCGAAACATATGTGCTGCTTTGTACACTGTGCACATGACCTCCCACTTGTCCCGACCAGAACGGAAAGTGTGGAATTTCTTGTACAAGTCATCGTTAAATAAGCATTTGCGCTTCGGCACGTTGCAGGCTGACCGACTGTCTGATCACTCCTTCTGAGTGCAGAGAGCTACATGTACAGACCCGTTTGTCCCTGGACACGGACGTTTGGTCACCCTACACCTTCATTCGGTTTGTCCATTAAAATGAACGTAATCGATGAAATTCTTAATGATCAATTATCAATTAATAGAATAATCATGCCCATCCCTAATTCAAACATATGCAAATGAACAAAACACAGTTATGTTTTTGCTGAGATGAGAGTATTATGGCATGGCTTAAAGCTCACAAGAATCCATTTTGTGTATAATAGGACCTTTGAACCACTGAAACTCATAGATCAATTACTTCGCATGTTTGTTTTGAATACATTACACTTGAGTCAGCAGGATTCACAATCAATATAGCTACTGATGATGCTGGAATTTTCCAAAGTATGGCATTAAACTTTTCTTTAAACTCTTGATAGAGCCAGGTGACATCACCAGGCCAAGCTACAAGTCTCATCTGTGGATATGCGAGTCAGCTCAGAGTAAAAATGCGTGTTTTACAAAGTAATTTTTAGCATTTTAGTCAATGTTTGTTTAAAGTCTCATACTGTCGCACTTTAAAGTCAAAGCAATATCTCCATGGAGACAAGCAGGTAGAGGATCCCCCACTAGACAAGTTACATAATGTTCCTTTAATATAATCTGAACAGGGTATGAAAGGTTTAAGTTTTCAATGATGTTTTCTGTTGCAACTCTCACGGCAGAGGATGATATAATATAACCAGACACTTCAAATGAATTTTATAGCAAACTTATAAATATATTGACAGAACTTGTACAATAATAAATAACACATTTTACAAGTTATTCTATTACCTTTGGTTGCATGGGCTTTTGACATCTTTTTAGAATGAGTTCCAGGTAAAAGTTAAGGAAAGAGACAGCTACTGAAATAACTCAATTTACGTTTCTCTTGAGTTAGATTTCATATAGTTTTCCTGTCACTTCACTCCTCCATTAACAAACTCCAAACTGCACTGCCAATTCTCTCATTTACATTCACAGAAAAGAAACGGCTCCGACAAAAGATTCAGGTTGCATTACTGAATAAATTGCTTCTCCTGAAAGAGTCTGCGGATATTCAAAAACATCAGACATTGCATTTTAAAAGGGGTTCAATCTCACCTGTAATTTGTCCTCTGGTACTTGGAGCCAGTGGTTGAATGCTTGGGCCAGCTTAGTCCGCACCTGTTTGCCTGAAAACAACAACAAACTTTACTCCAATATGTGAAATGAATGCCGACAGCCAACAAACAACCTTTAATGACTCCATCAGTTTTAATAAAGGGGATATTATGACCTCTTTTGGCAATGATTAGTATGATTTCGAAAGCGTATTAACACAGATGGTGGGTGGTGCGTGCTAAATGTTCATAGCCAAACCATTGCGGTAACAAATATGTAATTTTCTCCCTTACTGTGAGTCTTATTGTCGCAATTTCAGTCAAGATAATAATAGGTAAGTGAGACTGTAATCATCTTCATTGCCGCGGAGATGGAGAGCGCTGCATCCAACTACTTTGCAAGTCCAACGAGGCTGACAGCAAACAGCCCTAAACTGATTTGAAAATATTAGACCTGCCTTCACAAGCAGTTACACTTTTGATGAGGGCGAACATTTAAAAGCTGCAATATTTTATCCAAATGGAAAGTAACATGACAGTATAAATTCAATGTAGTAAAGGTTTACGATGTTTCAAAGCATAAGTTATACTGTGTTCCCAATTGATCCCATTCATTCTCCACATAAACGTATCAAACAGATTTGTCTCTTGTAGTAACACTATATATCTGCCCCAATAAAAGCAGCTCTTACTGACAAAAGTGGATCGCTGTCTGCATCCAATTATAAAGAATTCTTATTGTTAGTGAACCGAACCAGGCTGCAGCTGTAATGTGCTGCTGGCAGGCTGGCAGTGATTAGCATTACCTGTGACGATCAAACTTTGGGGAAAAGTTGGGGAATGTGCTTTAAACTTAACCCAGAAAAGTCAGAAAATGCTAGTTTTCAATTTCTAGAATGTGATGATGCCATGCTGTCAGATGAGTGGCTATAGCCACCTTTCCTAGTGATTACATTGTATTCTGTCATAAATAGGAATGGGCATGATTAGTCAATTAATCAATAAATGATCATTAAGAATTTCATCGATTACGTTCATTTTAATCCACAAACCAAATATAGGTTGATGTGCGTAGTGTGACCAAACAGGGGTAGCTCTCTGCACTCAGAAGGAGCGAGCAGACAGTCGGTCAGCCTGCAACATGCCAAAGTGCAAATGCTTATTTAACGATGATTGTACAAGAAATTCCATGCTTTCCATTCCGGTCGGGACAAGTGGGAGGCCATGTGCACAGTGTACAAAGCAGCACATATGTTTCGGTGTCCAGTGGGAAAAAGCTTTGCCAGGTGAGAGTAGCTCAATGTCGATGACGAGTCCCCACCTCCCACCTCCCACCTTCCCCTCCCACCTTCCCCCCCCGGTGTACTGGTTTTGACAAACGCAAATATGGTCACACTAACCTCTATTCCACTGAGTTGTGTCACATCAGCGCACAAGAGCTGTTTTTTTTTTTTTCTGCTTAATTTATGCAAATTAGCCATGCGGTTTTAAGTTTAGTTTCTGTGAGAGTTGCGCAAAGCTGCATTAAACACATTATAATCTCAAACAGGCTGATGTGGCTCTAGAGTGGTTACGGTTTATATGTCGTAAAGTTGAATTTATTTATGCAGATTAGTAGTGCAGATAGTAATAATAATGATGATAAATTTTAATATAAAAAACCTTAATGATTAATTGATAAACAATCGTTAATTCTCCCGACGATCAATTAAGAAAATTTTATCGAATGCCCATCCCTAGTCATAAATCATCTAATAGATATCCTACATCTTGGTATATTACAACAAAATTATTCATTTCTGTCCCTGATCTGTAGTATTATTGGACTATTGAATGTTGATGTCCTCTGAATCCCAACAATGAGTTTACACTGTGGGTAACATAGAGGCTAATCAACTGTAGTAACTTATGACCATATGGTTTAAATATAAATATAAATGAAACATTCATTAAAAAAGTAATAATCATTCATCAGTAAGAGGAAGACCAAGTAACCCAATTTTCTTTGACACAAACCAGTAAAAAACAGATCATGCAAGCCGTTTTAATTAACTGCATGAGAAGCATTATTTAGGCCTATTACAACACTAAAAGCAAACCATCCCCACTAGCTGAGACCCCCAGGGCTTGTCCTATTTACCCAAATGAGAAGATCGAGCTTTAATTTGAGCACTGTATGAAATTGACCAATCAAAATTAAAAGACGTTAATATCTCTGAACTGCTAAATTTGCCCCATGACAACTCAAACAGCGCGGCCAGTGATTATCTATTGATCTGTCTCCTATTGTTTCATTGTAAACCATGTAATTAAACAGACAGTGACACACTGTGAATTCAAGGAGACCTTATGTTTTTGACAAATGTAGAACACTGTGCATTATTAGCCCAAACACTCTGTAATTACAGATTCTGGTGTCTCATTTAGTACAAACTACCTCAAACCTTGTGCAACATAATTAGGGCTAAAACACTGCAGTTTGTTAAAAAGAAAGTTAACCATATCTGTGACAGCGTTACTGCTAAACTTCTAAATTATATAAATTACTTTTACAAAAAAACAACAGTTGTCTTGTTTGTGCCTGAGAGTTGCTAATTGTAATTTAATTGTTTCTCATTCAATGACAATAAACAAATCAGTCAATCAGTCACCTTTAGGTTCCTATTTATGTTATCCATTTTTGAAGCATATTCACAGTGATAAATACAGCATCTATATCTTTTGGATAGAAGGAAATTGCAGCATTGTCATTACCCAATGTCAGTTATCGTACATGTTAACTTATATAGAACATATTAATAATTGAAACTGAAGAGATGTGAATTTCACTTTGCGAATAATAAATGCCTGCCCATTGTTGCACTCCATTAATAACACTTAAAGCTGTCATAAAGTGAAAAGAACAGCCGTAAGACATGTATTACTTAATTTGAGTCACTATGTCTACTACAGCTCTATGATTAATATAAAATTCATAAATGAACCTGTTAACACAAAGTTCTTAATCCTGCTATGCACCAATCTACCATGTATCAAAATCCCCATAAATACAACAGTCCACTCGCCTGTACATTTCATTTAAACACTACACGACTGTAGTATGTTGTGATTCCAGATGACCAGAAAACCAGAGTCTGTCTCTTGCCCCCTGCGTAAGCACACCCCAGCAGCAGTAGAAATGACATACCGGGGAGTTGTAGCAGGTATTTGTAAGGCTCCAGGAGAATCCTCTCTGAGGTTGATTCTGAGTTTCTATCCATCATTGTACAGTTCATTCACACTTTCTGCAAGACACAAGTTGAACAAATGTTATCAGTTAAGGCGGGTAATACCCCAACAAATACTACACCGTGGCAATCAAATATACACATAATATTAAAGTGGCTGTACACATTTTTTTCTGCGCAGTTGAGCAAAATGTGTTTTAGCCCAGTACAGAAGTGGTATCAGCAGCTTTTAAGATAGAAATGATACTGATCAAAGTATTAAGCAATTTATGCTCCGAGAATGAGAAAGTGTGCTCTTAGCATGCTAGTTGTTGTTAGCAGAGACCTCTGACCTAGCCTGTGAAAATTGTGAAATGCACTTTTAAACAAATCCTACTCAATAATTAGGATCCTAGGCATGCATATGGTAAGTGAGGAATAACTTTCACATTTTGAGAACAGTAAAAATCAGGTACAGTGCCTTTCGGTGTAAAACTACAGTATACCATAGCAATGGTATAGTTTTGGCGGCACTGGCGGCTTGGAACCTTAATCTTAAGTTTAATGCCTATCTAATGGCAAGTGCAGAAAGACACCATTGTAACAACCAACCAAACAATAGCTCTACTGATAAGTGCAAATTGAAAGTAACATCGGCTTGCAAAATTATCAGTTAGACCAGAGTCTGCAAATTTAAATATAGCTGTTAGTGTAGAGAAAAACAGAAGGTCACATGAAATAGTTCTGTGGTGCAGTCTGCTGTGTGTGCAGAACTGTGAAATCCCTAACTGCATGGTGACACACTGATCACATGACTGGGTGAGTTACAATAATTGCATTACTGATGATGAGTCACCAGTGGACAAACACGGATGTCTGCCCATCTATACAAATATATTGTGACATCTTTAATAATAATAATGCATCAGTTTTATATAGTGCTTTTCTGGACACTCAAGGACATTTTACAGAGCATTATTCATCCACGCCATACCCAGTGGTGGTAAGCCACTATTGTAGCCACAGCTGCCCTGGGGCAGACTGACGGAAGCGAGGCTGCCAATCTGCACCCATTGGCCCCTAAAAACCACCACCATCTCTCACGCACACACCACATTCATACTAGGCAATGCGGGTGAAGTGCCTTGCCTAAGGACACAACCACAGTTTATGCGACTGACGCCCCCCTGTGGCAGCTGATTTTCCCAGTGGTCTCCTGTCCAAGTACTAAACAGGCCCAGCCTTTCTTAACTTTTGAGATCTGATGGGATTAGACTTTGACAAGCTCATATGGCCACAAAAAGTGACATCTGATAATAAAGTTTAGTTTAGTAAGAAAAGTAATTTGACAACATATAATGCATGCACAGCATCATAAAAGAATGCTGTTTAATAATGTTCTTCATGTTAGTTAAGAATGTTAAGAAAATAATGTCAAGGCAAGGAATGTACAGGTGTAAAAACATAACAATGCTGGCTTAAAAGTGCAGTGTAACACTCGCATTTCTAGTGAAGGGCCCAGCACCTGTTTGTCTCTGTGGTGATGTTATTGCTTTCCTGGAATGTTTCACAGTATGGGATTAAACCTATCCATCTCCATGGAGACAAGAGATGACACCAGGCCAAGTTACAGGCCAGACTGAAAGAATGCATGTTTTTAAGCAGTTCATTAACAACAAGAGAGATATACTCTGGAACACTGCAGGCAAAGCAATAACATCTCTATGGGCACAAGCAGGTGGGAGGCTCTTCAAAAAAAAAAGAAAGAAATCTACGCTACAAAAAAAAAAAAAAAAAAAAAAAAGTCACATATAATAAATGTAGAAAAACAATTACTTCTTGATTAAGGATTTACAGCACAAGTTTTGCCATAAAAGCTGTCATTTTCTTATACAAATAAACAGAGATGTATGTAGGGTGACCAGACATCCCCATTTACCCGGGACAGTCCCAGTTTTGACCCAGTGTCCCCTGTCCCTGCAAATTTATCCAGTACCATTGATTTGTCCCAGTTTTATACAAGGAATATCCCAGATGTTTCTATTTTGGATTAATTTGACACCTGACAACAGTAAAGAGAGGCAAACATTGTCATTTATTTAGGTAATACACAGAAAAGCCAGTTAAAAATGACTAAAACACAAAGAAAATGTGACTATACTGACTCATATCAGTGCTGAATGCATAACAATTTTCCTTAATTATGCACTTGTTTCACAAAATAATACGCTAAAATAAAAACAATAATGTACTTATAATAAATGTAAAAATAATTACTTCATAATTAAGGATTCACAGCACAAGTTTTGCCATAAAAGCTGTCATTTTGTTATAGTAATATACAGAGATGTACTGTGTAGGGTGACCAGACATCCCTATTCACCCCGAACAGTCCCAGCTTTTAGCCTTGTGTCCCCTTTCCCTGCAGATTTATCCAAAATCAGTGATTTGTCCCAGTTTTATACAAGAATTGTTCCAGGTGTCCCAATTTTTGACCAATTTGATACCTGTCAACCGCAAAGAGAGGCATATTTTGTCATTTATTTAGGCAAAACACAGAAAAGCTGCTTAAAAATGACCAAAACAAAAGAGAAAATGTGACTATACTGACTCACATTAGTGCTGAGTGCATAACAATTTTCCTTAATTGCGCACTCGTTTCACAAAATAATACGCTACAACAGGGGTGTCCAAACTTCTTTCAAGGGCCACATATCTAAACACAGACGAAGAAGAGGGCCGATCGAGGGCCATAGACTGGAGCTCAATACAGTGAATAACTGAAATATGTACATGTTTAAACATGTTAAAATGAGGCATCAGTCTTTATTCATGCCAAGTTCCTTAAAACCACACACTAAATATTAAATATTTGCTTTATCAAGGTAAATTTTCAAAAACTTGCAGTAAAAAGTACATTTTTAATTGATGCAAGGTAATTTGGGCCAATTCACCTGGAAGACTGAGGGCCAAGAAAGATTTGTCTGAGGGCCGCATTTGGCCCCCGGGCCATAGTTTGGACATGCCTGCGCTACAATAAAAAATAAATAAATGTAAAAAATAATTACTTCATGATTAAGAATTCACAGCACAAGTTTTGCCATAAAAGCTGTCATTTTGTTATAGTAAAACACAGAGCTGTACTGTGGTTCCTTGACTCCACCCACCTGCACTGCTGCCTGTCGGCTGCTGTCACCCACTCCGATGTTTTTGTTAGCCACGGCTGCTAACTAGCATGAGACATCACAAATGGCCGCCAGCTACACAACGCCACATGGCATTAACCCCCTTTAAAAATAAAAACTTTGCTTTTAAAATCAATCCAAGAAGGCACGTTATGTCACTGGTTGATCGTTGTTTTATACCATTTTAATACTGTACAAAAACGCCCAGAAATCTACATGCCAGGCTAAGCTACACCCGCTATCGCTGCTGCACACTGCTGAAGCCAGTTAGCCTTTATGCTAAATTTATATGTGGTGTTCATTCTAAACGCATGCGCACATTGGAGCCTCAATTTGGGCGCTGTCACTCATCGGAGATGCTGAAATTTTCTTCACATTTTCTCCCGATGTTACCGCCTTTCCTGTACGTGCATTACAACACGCACACCCGGTCAACGCTGGTGAAGAAAACAAGCGCACCCATGTAAAATCACCACCTGGGATTTGTAGTTTTTAGCAATGAGGCGTCTCTCGTTCGTAAACCGTCCAATAGCGCGCCTCCGTTTGCCTTCCCACAGATATTTTTCACAGTGGCAGCAAATCATATTATGTTATGGCATTTTGTTTCCTCTTTTATCCAATAGGGAAGCAAAACACGGGTAGAGGCGGGTTTATTGTCCCCGTCAATCATTTGCATGAGGCGGGGAAAGGATCACACAGAGCTGGGCTGGAGAGGCAACTCAACAAGAGCCCTGCGAAAACGACTTTTACCCATCCGCATCCAACATCAACGAGGGGCAACCAAACGACGCTAAAACCTGTCAGATTTCTTACATAAATGTTCCTATGGATTACTACTACTCTTTTATCGAAGCATAGGAGTATATTTCACACTGACAGCTTTGGTAAGTCCGATTTCCTTTGCAACCCGTCGCTATTTTGTTCATTTTCACTCGCTCGCTTGCCAACCTTGACGTCGCTAACTTGTTAACTGATTGAGGTGTGTGTTTTGGGGTGTTTCGGGAATGAATGAGACGAATAAGGGGACGAAATGCAAAGTTTACGAACAGTGTTTGGTTGGATAGGTTGCAAACAATATCGTGAACAATGTGGAAGGGCATATGGGAAGGTGCTGGATACTTTGACGCCTGGACAGTGGGTTGTAGAGCTGAGGAATCTTTGCAAAAGCTACCGTCGAGCAGCGTATGTCACGGTGCATGGATACTTGACAAAAAGTGATATTTCGGGGTAATTTTCGACTGTATTCGCTCGGATTGCCTAATAGATGCCACGGAAAGCGACTAAACGGTGTAGTTAACAGGTAAACTGCGTTGTCAGGCTTTCTATTGTGCCCTCAGTCGCTATCTGGATTGACCAGTGTGGGTTGGTCATGATGGGTCGCCCTTTGGTTCACTCTGCGCTCGTACAGTGTATTGAAACAGCTTGAACGATGTTATTGAAACATTTGTGCCTTGACGAAGCCAGAGTCGTATTTCTCAATGTAGTGCATGCGTGACTCGTGTGTTTTTGTCCATTTCCGTGACTTGGTGCACGGTCGATGTCACAGTAAATGGACGTAAATGAGCACTAAAGCTGTTTAAAAGCGCTTGGGGCTTTATTAAAACGAGTTGGCAGGTGTTTTACGCGGAGGTTCGGGTCGTGTGGTTGATATTATTGTTGCTTGTGGTCAGTCATTCACTCTGGAAATTGTCTGGGGCGGGTGATCAGATCTGTCCAACCGAGGGCTCACTCCGACCTTGTCTTTTGTTTGAACAATAAAATCTTGTACTAATGCGGTGTAGACGTGTTACGAGTGTTTAGTGCAGCTTGTTTGACCTTGTTGTGAAGCGATCCGTCGACGTGTTTCTTTGTCAAAGCAGCGGCTGCACAGGCACTCCGTGAACAGTCAGCGAAATGCCAGAGCCCCGTCCATAAAGAGGGAACATTTTGTATTGAAAGAAAGTGACTTTTAATGAGCTTGCAACGCTCGTTCGTACTTTGTTAGCACGACACCCTCTCCCCGTGACATTTTAATAAGTGTTGTCGTGTGGTAGCTGTCCACAAGCACTGTTGTTATCGCTTATTTTTGCTGCCGAGTGCACTCCGCAGAGAGCAGCGCGACTGGGCTAGACAAGGGACCCGAGCGAAGCGAAAAAGACCCCGTACACCGCGACTGCACGTCCTCCCGTCCACAGATCTATGTCTCTGATCCGAGCAGGTGAATTACCAACACTGTTTAAGCTGTTTGAAGCCTTTGTCGCGAACACTTCTTGTTTTAGCTCGCTGTCAGATACAGAAATGGCGTCATCCTCTGCTGTAGTGCTGCTACTCGGTGCCTCGCAGACACAGTACACCGTAGACTAGTCGACACTGTCCTCCCCGTGTCCTGAACTGTCTTAAACCCGTGCTTTTGTCTGGCATTGACCGATACTGCGCCGTGCATTGGATCAGCGGCTACTTCTCACGTTTGCCCGTCCTTCTCTGGCCACGACTTAAGTCTGCTGGCTGATCGAGTGACTGGCTACACTACAGTACATTGGGCATTACATAAACGGCTTTAGGGCTCCGCGATGGAGGGTGCCACGCTTTACTTTGCAACACGGATATTTATGGGAATCTACCACGAAATCTATCGCAATCGACTTATAATGAGTGCACTTATATGAGCATAAACCCCTGTCATAAGCGCTACAATAGTCTTTTGTAATACATTTATTCAATTATAAACTACCATGTGCACGCGATGTGGTTATGTTATGCAGAGCAGCTTGGGGAAATCTAAAAAGCAATGTAAAGTGTTGCGAATGCCGCCCCAGTCTTTGAGAGCTTTGAGCACTGTAGCAGAAAAAGTGATGTCATCTTATTATAACCTGTCTCTTGTTGTGGCAGACTCAACTTGACGCTATCGGTAAGCCTTATAACTTCAACCTTTTTTTTCTTTCCCGCAGATTCAAGGCACTGGACACCTAGAGGACTTATAGAGAGATGAAGGTATGTTTCTTAAAGTGTTATAGCATACTGGGTTATCTTCATTGTTTTGTGTTCATGATTATTTGCTATTTGTTCAAACACAATGAACAAGTGTTTTGGAGACTGGCCAAAGTCATACAGTCTATTTTGATAAGCATGATATTGGGCTTCTAGTGGCTTCAGCTGTATTTGCGAACACCGTTTGACAACTGTAATTTTTGATTTAATGCTTTGTTATGAGATTACATGCCAAGATGGGTGATAATACATTGTACATTGGCGTGCTCACAATCAACTCCTGCTACATAATTCTTTGTTACACTGTGAAAATATGTGCTAAATGTACACTAAGCAGTGGCAATATTGTGTTTCCATTGGGGAGTGATAGATAGCTATTTGTCAGTATGTTCTGCAGTTATGTTGTGCCTCTAGGCTGTTGCATCCTGTCCTGCTTGTCATTTGTTGCTATGAGAGCCATGTGGAGTGCATGGGCTGTAAGCTTGTTTCACTTTTAAACAATACTGTACTGTTCTGGTATATCTAGATATCATTACATTAGTTTGAATCACAGAAAATCAATAGAACAGGTGGAAGATGAAAGCACTCTGAGTTCGGAGAGAGTCGGACAAATTAGCGGCTGCTCTTGTAATGATTTGTTGTTTTGCGGCTAATGGTGCTACGCTTATTGTGGTTAATTAAACTATACCACTGCTCGTTATAGACAGCTAAAGAGTCGACTAAAGTATCCAATTAAACAATGTAAAACAGAGCCTAACACAGTCGGTTAACATGCACAACACACTTAACTACTGCTACTCAGAGTCTAGCTACGCATGTCGTACATTACATGCATTAGAGAGAACATAAAGTGATGCATTCCTGTGTGCATAGTTTTCTGAATGCAACTGTACTTAATTTTTAATCAGATTTTTGTTTTGCTCTAATTAATCATTTATTGTATTTCAGAATTCAGGTTTGAAATCAGCTATACTGTACAAATAGAAAATGCATGACCAAAACAGCATGGTAAACCAGAGTCAGAAATTGATCTTTTCCAGCACTGTGATCAAATGATTTTAAGTTTATGTAAAATTTTCTGGTTTGTAGTAACTCTAATTGCCAAACCATGAGTGTATTGAGTGGAAAACAAATTGCACTATCTTGTCGTGTGATATTAAAAGCAATGTGTTAAAAGTTGTTCACACTTTAAACATCAGTTAGAATTGGAGAACTATGTCAGACTGTATGTAAACAGACTTATCATTCCTTGAGCTGCAGCTGTTTTTTCATCAATGGTGTATAGTTCTGTTTCTGAATGAATACATTACACAGCGTTGAACAGTGACTCTTCTTTAAAACATCTCTGTTCGCCAGTGTTCAGTTGCGATGGAGCAATAAACAATGGTAAATCATGATTAAAAAGGGTACATTTTGTGTAATTGTGATAATGGCCAACAAAGATAATCACCATTAAACAACCAGATTGTGCAGACATAAGATGCTTATCTTATGTTCTATTGTTAGCTAGCTTCTTGTTGTTTTGACTTATAACAAAGTATAATCCCATAATAGTTAGTAGTAAATCGTAAAATGTAATAATTATGTAATAGTAAAACACAACATTTATTCACTAGGATTTCATAGGATATGCATTCTAACTGAATGAGTTGGTGTGTATAGTAATTTGAATATATTTACTTAGCATAATTAAACCGTCTGGAAATTTATATTATTGGTAATCTCAATTATTTCAGCCATGATTATCGTGGCACAAAATTTCAATATTCAATTCAATATTTATTCAGTAGTCCGCCAAGTGTGCAGATGAGCCTCATTGTTGATTTGACTTTCTCTGGCTGCAGAGGATCAGGCTTGCATAATAAAACTGATTGTTTGAGTGCACATCACAATGTTGAGTTTAGGCAACAGTGGTTAGAAACACATGAACTGCTCCTGCCCTGGGCTACACTGGCTCCTCTGCTCCTGCTGGTGTCTGCTTGAATAAAACCTAATATGTAAAGTGTATTAAAGTGCAGCTGGATCATTGCACTGGGTCTATATTATTAGATGGTTATTATGCTCCTTTTGCCCTGTTTTCATTTCTGCTGACAGAGGGAGTGTCTCTTTTTTAAATGTACTGTAGTCTATTTACTTTGTCTGCGGCGACTGGCAGCAGCAGTGGGGTTGTTTGGGGAAGCATCTGCTCAGTCTGTTGACGGCTCATTCATGATGTTAAGCACTTAATGTTACTTTAGCTTATGTTTGACAAATGTCTCTGTATATTTTTACTTTTCTTAAATGACTATTATTTAGACTTCTATAAAAAGGATTACGTTTACCACATACTAAACTTAATTTTGTGGCTGCACTTGACCCCATATTTTGGACAGAGCGTTGCCCTGTTTTATTTCATAGATTGAAAGATAATGGCATAACTGTTTATTTATTCTACTATTCTTTCCATAACAGTGTTTATATTTGAAGATTATTTTGTTGATTTTGATGTGTAATCATGTTGTTGACACAGCAGTTGTTTCACAAGTCAAATATTGTGCTACCTTACTAGTGTGCAACAAAATTATTGTTTTGTTTGGAAATGTGAGCATTTAGAGAGAATGCACCCAAAAAGATGTCATATTGTAATGTTCTAAAATGGCATTTCATGAACATTTGAAACTGAAAAAGGAGCTGCAATAAATAAACATAATGCAGCACTTAAGTTGTTAGTTTGTATCTAATGAATCATAAAAGTTATTTATGTGAGCCTCTACAGCTCAGAGCTTATTAAAATAAATAACAAAGGTCCTCTAGTACAAAGAGAAAGAAAAAAATGATTGTTCCATCTGTCATGTGTTGAATGATAAGTTGATATAGGTAATGATTGTGACAGGCCTTTGTCTGTGTAGTGTTTTAGTTAGAGAGGGCCCATTGGCAGTCACACAAACACATTTGTCATGGACTTAAATGGCATTAGTCAGTCATTGACATAAATGAGTCATTAATACGGCACAAGAGGAGCAGCTTGTCTCCAGTGTGCAGCCAAAGTTGAATTAATGTATTAACACTATATTATCTCTGGCGGCTCTTTCAGAACAAACCTAAGTGGTCACATAAATGGATGCTAATTATACTCATTATCGAATTGTCCCAGATTTGCATGAGAACAAGTGCATTTAAAAGTTCTTATGTTAAAGTTTACTGTTGTAGTTTGGAGGCAGCTTGAAGCAGTGGTGCCTGGATGGAGGTGAGTAGTTGGGACAAAGAGGTGATTCACAGAGGGATTATGGGATGTGTGAGCTGCTGTGATGGAGCTTAAGTCTTTCCTGTATACCCCTTTGTGTTTTCTCTTGTTCTGATCATAAGCTTGCTCTGTATGCAACAAAACTCAGTCCATTAAAAGTCAAATCCCTTGTAGTGGGAAAAGAACTCATATTGTGAATTTTCCACAGGTATTTACTATCAAACTGTAACATCATTTACATTTTGTTATATGTTAATGTGAATGGATGAACATGAATGACCTGAAGTCTGATTTTTATTTTTTTAATAATCACAAATAAGTACAGAGCAGTGGGTGGGGTAGGTGAAAATGGCAATTTTCAGAGTACTCAAGGCTTGAATGTAGGACAAATCAAAATGCAACCCCGAGTAAGCTTATGGTAAGGTATCACTGTTATAACATGGGGAAAAGTTCCATATGTCCCCTTTGATGTAGAAATACTGGGCATTTTATAGGCTTAGTTGTCAAGTAACAAATCTAGAAAGCTTTAAAATGAGCCTCCCAATAGGAAAAGTAGACATTCTGCGTCTGTTTTTATCCTTGTATTGCATCTCCTCTGATCCAGGATGTGCAGTATTGTAATAAGAAAACACTATTATGTCTTAAACTGTGTTGAATCTGCAAGAATTGTGGCAGAGAGAAGTGTACAGGGGTAAGATAAAAGATTTGAGGTTCGCATCTGGACTATAAAGTCTGAACAAGTGTGGAAGCAGCAATTATAGAATCAAATAAAACAAGACTAGCATACGGTAGTTCATAGTCGGTGCAAGACAATAATCTGCTTTATCTGTGTGCTGTCATAAAGAGTAATAGGGCAATAGTAGTCACATGCAGAACAATGACATGGTTGTGTTTTTTTAAAGCGGCTATATCTGATGACACACTATGAACTAAACTAGTGTGTCTTTCTCTCTTGTGGTATATTCTGTGTATTTGATTTTTTGTTCTTTTGTTTTTATTAAAGCTGTAATGTGAGATTGTGCTTTCTTTTAGTGCAGTGATTTTGCATTTAATCAAGTCTGTCATTCATGCTCAATTTAGAAATTTAGCAATTTAGAAAGCAAATACATAATACATGCTATATTATTTTCCTCTTACTTATCTTATTGGTCAGTTCGGAGGGAATGACAGGCACATTTTAACTGTAGATAAGATAAACCACATAAGATAAAATTGAAATTATGGTTTATTCTTTAAAAAACTGATATAAATGATTTGCCAGATCGGCCACACATACTTGCATTTGATAGTCTGGTTGTTGGAGGTCAAAACCAGGAATGTCGTCTTTCACATTACTCACTGTTATCAAAGTGTATTTCCTCTTTCATTTCTGGTCATTTGCTCCATGCAGCACTTTCTCTAGAAGTTGTAGAATAAATACTAAACTCAATCAGGGTCTCACTGATGACACACTATGAACTAAACTAGTGTGTCTTTCTCTCTTGTGGTATATTCTGTGTATTTGATTTTTTTGTTCTTTTGTTTTTATTAAAGCTGTAATGTGAGATTGTGCTTTCTTTTAGTGCAGTGATTTTGCATTTAATCAAGTCTGTCATTCATCCTCAATTTAGAAATTTAGCAATTTAGAAAGCAAATACATAATACATGCTATATTATTTTCCTCTTACTTATCTTATTGGTCAGTTCGGAGGGAATGACAGGCACATTTTAACTGTAGATAAGATAAACCACATAAGATAAAATTGAAATTATGGTTTATTCTTTAAAAAACTGATATAAA